GGTGAGGGTGGATGTGAGTGTGGTGAGGGTGGATGTGAGTGTGAGTGGGTGTGGGTAATGGATGTGAATGTGGGTGAGGGTGGGTGTGAGTATAGGTGAGGGTGGGTGAGGGTATGGGCGAGGATGGGTGAGGGTGGGTGTGGTTTAACAGAAGATAGATATACTCACACCTACACATTTAATGTACTCTATCAAACAAGATATGAATGAATGAAAACGGGACGCAAGATATCGATTGGCTGTATCATATTTACTTACAGACGAGATTGATTATGATCAATAACTGAATTTGCTGCTTCTAATACAATATTCGTACTTCCTAAATAACAAAAGATTTTATTAATTTTCATTTTGTTGTTTTGGTATAATTAATTAACTTACGATAGTTTTGTTCTAATTTAATAATATGTTCTGGATTTTCCCGGCTTAAATAAAGTGCTTTTAAATATTCATCTATATTATTCACACATTGAGCACCACGAAATGCATATATACTTTGATCATCATCACCCTAGAAAAAAACATTAAATTAATCTATACATCTATTTTAATTTTAACTAACCACCGCCATAAAACAATTTTGTACAGTTTTATTCTGATGATCTCTATCAATCATTAATTTTAACCAATCCATTTGTAATGTTGATGTATCTTGAAATTCATCAATAAGTATAAAACGAAATTTTTTTGAATAATGTACTTGTAAATCAATTTCTTTTTCAAGTAATTCTATATAGAAAAAATATTTTCTGTTATTCAAAAATAGATATTTTTTTAAATAATAGAACCTTTTGTTAAAAGAATTAATTCAGCAAAATCAAGTTTATTTTCTTGTTGAATATATGTTTCATATTTGGAATAGATTAATTGTTTAAAACGATTTTCATGATTAATCATAATATCTGTTGAGCGTTTACCTTCATCTTTACATTTATTTATAAAATTTATAATAGCTTTCGGTTTATCAGTATAAAAATTTGTTTCTTTAACTTCTTCTTTAAGAATTCGTTTAACTATTGATAATTGATCATCAGGATCAATGATGATAAAATCACTTTTAAGACCAACCATTTTACAATGAATACGTAAAAAACGATTTGCTAAAAATAAAATCAATACAGAATTTTACGTATGTCTATAATATATCTTATAAATTAGATATAATCCTTCGATATGATGTGTCCACAAGAAATCTATAACGAAGTTGTTTATTGGATTTATTGAGTTTTTTCTTATATATGAGAATGCTTTCTGATGTCTAGTGGCTTCGCGCATTCTGCATGATAATTCGATGTCAGATCCAAGTTATGCTGCTCATAGTTTGAATAATGTCCCTTCTGATAATGGATTCGAATATAAACAACAGATAATTGACTGTCC